ACATCATAAACATCCAAAGTAGTAAACCAGTGAAGGGAAAGTAAATAAACCAATACATACATAACAATCTCAATTACATTACCTCAAACCAACCCCTCTCAACTGTAATCCAACCTCGACATTTAGACTCCTATGCATAGCACAGCACAGCGTAGCATAGCATAGCACAGCGTAGCATAATCTTGGCCGAAAAGTAGGTATAGCATGACATGGCACGAGGAGTTTATATGCGATATCCACTTCGTCAATTACATACTCCACTTCAAGCAAGCAATGTCTTTTTGATATAGGTTTAAACGAGTTTATAGGTTGTAAGCCGAAGATCTGTGTAGGAAACAAGGGTTGTGATTTTGGGCGTTGTTATAGGGCTGTCCCGTTCATTTCAATTTGTTTCATATCATATATCATATATTATAATATCATATTATATCATACCGCGATCGCAATCGCAATCGCAATCCCAGTCCATCACAGCCTTACGATACGGTCAAACACACATTTCCAAGCATTCCATGAAACAACTTCCCCAAATACCCTTATCCGATTCGCCTCAGCAAAAGAAAACGAAGTAGTCAAACCGCACCTCTCAACCTCATCATCCAAGCGCAAATATTCTTTTGTTGCAAATCTCATCTCTGACACCAGGCTCAAAGAAGTAATTTACGACTCTTCGGATGTTGATCATGTTTCGCTGGTTTTTTCCATGCTTTGGTCCCCGAAATGGTGCCCGCTGACTGGATGCCCGGCTGCGGAGTGGCTTCCGGTATTGGTTTTGAGGTCAGCCGGTTGGCAATTAAAACCTGGTCCTGGAAACAAATAATCGACACGAATGTTCTTGGCAGATTAGATCCACCCATGAGGTTTTGAAGAAAGTCGAGGCGAGAAGTGCCGAGCATGATCACTGGATTTTCATGTCGCTAGCTTTATTTTGTTCACTGGAAGCTTCAAATTTTTTCTTTAAATTCCTGATGAGCATGTACTTTGAGGATCATGAGAAATGAATTCAAAAACTCCAATTAGGTTATAAACATTCAAACTGTTCTCGTCAAAAAACTTGGAATTGGGGAGAAGTGATTTAAGACTAATGTTATGCAAAACACTGAGGATACTCTTCTCTTAAGGCTGTTAAGAGGATAATCTCAATGCTTGTTATACTATTAGAAATATCAATACTAAGATTATTTGGTACAATGGATGAAACAACCAGTGCAAACGATAGCAAGAAATATTATCGCCGGTGGGACACAGTGCCATATTGTATATCAAATCATCGAGATAAGTGCTTAGGCGTAAGGGAGAATCTTCGGATGACGAAAACGGAAATTTGTACCAGCCCATAAACTGGACGAAGCATATGTTCCATTACCTTCCAAAGACAGTCTCGGAAGACAACCAAAACTCATCGATTGAAGAGAAAGGAGAAGTTAAAACACGAGAATCTGGAAACAGCGCGTGAAACAGATGGTTGGTCCAGTCAGAAAGTCAGTGAGAGCGAGCACGAGTCTTTGAATTATATTCACCACAATCTCATGGCTTCCAACCAAGAGAATTGCCAAACAACTCAAAAGATAATGATGCTTAGTTTCTCAGCGAGCAAGATTATTTAAGAGAAGCTCCGAAAGCTGAATAAATCACTCATCATGATATAAGGAAAGCTGTGCTAGTTAAGAACTGAGATTCCCAGTAAATAAAAACAGTTTTCAAATTAGCTCGTACTCAAGAAGCCTCCCCGTTTTCCTGAATAAAAACTCACTTTCCTACAGGTCACGTGAAGTAACTGCTAGACGTATTGACAGCGCATATTTTTGTAAAAGCAAATGGAATGATTTGATCATGAGTCTTTGGCTCCCAATGTTTGAATTCGCAGGGATGGATTGAATGAAGTGCGTTAAAATATTGGATATGTTTTATTTGATGCTGAATGCTTCTGGCAGATTGGAGATACGTGGAATGTTATGATTAAACCACGACCAAAAACCATTGTCTCTCAAATATTGAACAGCCGGACGCGGATTGGTATCTCTGTTTGAAAAGTCAGGCGGAAAGTAGTAATATAAACCCTCATCATTGCGTAGAAGGATATACCATACGCACAAAATTCAAGCAGATCTTAATGATGCATTTAACACAGGTAAATGTGGATGATGAAGATTTGCCCAACATATTGTTTCGACATACCAAAAGGCAAGTCAAATCCAAAAATAAGTTCAAGCATTAAGATGACTATTCTTTCAAGTCATCAATACTTGCCTCGAATGCCTAGCTTTTGCTTGAACATGCGAATTAAGGGATTTCGTGTCTAACACGTGATCGTAGAAGCAATGCAGCAAAACGGGAGTCGCGATCTCTCTTGTCTAATATTTGTGTACCGATTTCCCAGGGCAAATTATGTTCAGCACTAAACAACTGGCAACAAGTTGATTCTGATATAGATAGGGAATGTGGTGTGTGTGTGTGTGTGTGTGTGTGTGTGTGTGTGTGTGTGTGTGTATGAGGGAGAGGGGAGGAAATAACGCAAACAGTCTCTTGGGTTACTTAACCTGTGAGACATGTCTTTGAAAAGCATGAGGATAATGAACCTCTCCATTCACAAAATCATGACAAATGTACGAAACCTAAACAATTGGATGGGTCGAGTTGTTTTGTATTGTAACCCACCCATCCACCCATAATCGATCACTGGTATCATCTCTGCTGCAAAATGACTTGCTGATAACATCCCCCATGAGGTCGCGTGCCCATTTTCCGTTTTTGCCGATGGTCTTAAGTCAGATATCTCCGTCCGAACCACCGAGCTTGGCTATGAAGTACATTTTCTGGATCAAGAAGATGATTTGATGATGGAAGCATGGTTGAAATGTATGACTACTGTATAGACAGTAGGAGGCATGAACCGAAGATAAGTAGATGTGGATAACCCATAGTATCGAGTGCATCGAGTCTAGAACTGTTGGGAGAAAGAAAATTGAAGATTGAAAAGGCAGTAAAGTACAGTAGTTCAATGCAGACAAAAGCCTGCCGATATCCCGGTGCCTGTAACACATCCTGGTGACTACCCTGGAATATGCATGGCGATAAGATAGTCAAAGCCTATCAGTCCAACACATCATGACACGAGAACGAGGTAAAAAGTTTGTGAATTCTGGATCAGTGAATCGGTGAGTACTCTGTAGATGCTGTACAGATCAATTCTAGCCTGTCAAATAACATTGATACGAACTGTCCGATGTTTATGTTTCACCATCAGTGTGACTTTGCATGTGATATGTGTAGGATTAGCTTGAGATGTAAGACAGACATTAGTATATTCAAAAGTGTGAAAACTAACCTTACACCAAGTTCAGATGAATCGTTGAGTTACCATGATGAAGATGCCGATATAATACTTGATTTACCCCAGAGATTACAGCCTTATACCCACCCACCTACCTAATCGTGCAAAAAGTTCAAGGTTCATGCAAGAAGAAAAAAAGAAATGGGACTTTATAGCTAGCCTAGTATCTGGTTCCTGCTTTGTTGTCAGTGACCATCCATTCATTACGGAGTACATGTTACTCTTGGGCCGCTATCCGCTATGATATGGATTGTAGGTAGGTAGGTATGAGGTAGGCTATTAATGGTAGAAAGGATATCTAGTAATGAATAGAGAGTACAATAGATAATATCTGACTATGATGAGCATTATGCTAAGTACTAAATTCAATGGTTTATTGATGTAAAGTCTAGTAACATAAAACATATAAAATAAAATAAAAACTCGATGTTTTGGTAAGACCTTATAAAAGTGTAATGCCGGCTTTTGAGATATCTTCGGCAGCTGGCACGCATTAGAAAAAGCTTGTTCATTGGTTCATTTGGTTCATAACCTTTATCTTTGGTGTTGCTGACTGTACCTATTGACCTATTATACCCTCCCAGCCTTTGACTGACATGCATACTAACCCAACATTCTAATTCTAGACTAATCAACAAAAGTATTACCAATCCGATTTATCCGTCCTCGTCCTCCTCTTCCTTTGATTTACCACACCACCATTCTTTGACTTGCACTCATTTATTATATCGCGGAGTATATACACTATTATCGATCCACAATATTACAATCAAGTTTTTTTTTCATCTATGCGGAGTCGAAGCATCCTACCACCCTCCTTCACCGTACTCCAGTCTCCATAGTCCATCACAATCGATAAGCGCCTTATTAGAGTTCGATCCCTTCCCTTCCTGTGAACTCCTACTCTAAGTTAGCTCGGCTTCTTCGGAGGGGGTTAGATATTGTTAGTCAACACTGGTCTTGTATTTGATTGAATAACTAATTAAGTGTATGCATGACAAAAGGTATTGTTCTACTTCTTATGTCCTATTTCTGAATCATTACTTTCACTTCCATTTCCAATCTATTTCCAGATTCATCAACAAAGAACTTGAACCATCCTCTACTTTACATCGAATTCCCGTGCATTTCTAATCGCCAAACAGATTCGCTGGTCGTTTTTGAAACCTCAATGCTTTAGCTCATTTGTTCCAATTTTTCATTTCCTTAAGTTTTAAGATACCCTTCTTTGTTCAATGCCGTATACGAAGCGCAACAAGATGATTTCGTTACGACGATTTATACTGTCAATCGCCCTGGTCTGGGCGACTTGGTTCGGAGCAACCTCATTACATCAATACCTCGATCCGAATACACATATATCGGATGAAATGAGAGAGGATGCTCGCTGGATTGCAACATCAAAGCACTTTTTGGATAGGCAATCATGTAAATGGCTTGGCCTTTGTGGCCTTGCTCACTACCATTCCGATCCTGCCTGGAAACGAAGATTGAATAAGGATACGAGGGATCAGAAAGTCATGGCAGATGATGAATTCGATGCGAGCTGGGTAGAATGGGACAATGCCTACAAGAATGCGCCAAAAATGCGCCCAGATGATTGGTATGGCGATGATAGAGTGTTGAGAGAAGTTCCACAATACGTCCTCGACCACGCTCCTCTGGTACATCTATATTCGGGTGAAAAGTTCTGGCCTGCGGACATCAAGGACCATTTGCAACATGTTACTCCTTACGAAAACCATACTTCATTGCATATGAATAGCTCGCAACATACATTACACAATTTACATTTGTTGAACGAAGGACGCAGAGGCCGAGTCTTATTTATGCAAAGCAAAGACGATGTTGAAGATAGACCAAGGTGGCTTGGGAGTGCTTGCAATAGACCTATACCATATGAAGATGAGATCAAACATGAAGAGGATTGGGAAGCAGTGGAGGAGGAAGAAGAGAAGGAGTTTATTGAAACCAGAGAAGATGGCCAGGAAGCTTGGGATGATGCGAGTGATGAGAATAGAATGAAGATTGCTGCACCACTAGAACCATCCTTCAGCACACAACCTCGAATTGCAGGACAAGGTCGACGCGAGTTGAAGAAACGTGGGGATTCTTCGGGTAAACCGAATCAATCAGGATATTCTCCAGCTCCGGCGACATTAATAATTGTGGATAAAGGACATGGTATCGTTGATGCATTTTGGTTTTACTTTTATTCCTACAATCTTGGTACGACTGTCATGAAGATGCGATTCGGAAATCATGTTGGTGATTGGGAACATTCGCTTATTCGCTTTCACCATGGCGTACCAAAAGCCGTCTTTTTTTCGGCGCATTTCGGTGGGTTAGGATATCATTACAAAGCAGTGGAGAAGGGACAAGGTCCAGGAAGAGAAGGAAGACCAGTGATTTATAGCGCAGTTGGATCTCACGCTATGTATGCGACACCGGGTACTCACCCATACGTTCTACCATTCAAACTCTTGGCGGATGTCACCGACAAAGGACCAATTTGGGACCCCGTCCTCAATTACCGAGCTTATTTCTATAACACATCTCTCACTCACAATGTCGATGCACGATTCGCAACTTCCAACTTCCCTGTCCAAACCATGGCTGATTCTTTTCAACCCGCGGCGCAAAATCCCGATGCACCCACTGGCTGGTTTTGGTTTAATGGACATTGGGGTGATAAATTTTATGAATTATCTGATTGGAGACAGTGGAGATTTGTGGGTCAATATCATTATGTTAATGGACCTTTAGGACCAAAGTTTAAAAATTTGGGTAGAAGTAGGGTTTGTCAATCAGGGTTGAAGTGTATATTGGTGGATAGCTTGGAGAAGGGAAAACATAGGAGTTGGGTTGGGTAGAAGTGAGACGGAATGAAGTAGATTTGGAGTTTATTATTCTTTGTCGCTTGCGAAATTGAGCAAGATTTGCAGACTTAGATTGGTTGGGTATAGAGGATAAATCGTTTGAAATACTTTTTGCTTTTTATTTTTGTCGGGAATTGAATGGATGGATGGACCGGTGAAGGAGGTGTTTTTTTTTGTATTTGGATTGAATTTAAATCCAATTGGAGTAGAGGATGAAGATGATAATGATGATGATAGAGAAGACAGAAGATGAGATAAGAAAGAGGTGATGGGTTGAGAATATTAATGAATAAATGATACGACTTGGATTGATGAATGGTTGGCAGGGACATGTATATATCTATATAAATATATTTATATAAAATAGTTGATTCAAGTGAGAGAGAGGAGAAGCAGGTGCTCAGAAGATAGAAAAGAATTGATTGATTGTGATGGTATCTTATTTTTAAGGTGGCTATATATTTGGAAGTTGCTGTGGGCGGGGTGTTGAAGGTGCATTGTTTGGGGGGTAGGGGGTGAGGATGTTTATGTAGTGTAGTACAGATGAATTGAAATAGAGCAAGACATAATGAGATAAGAGCTAGATGGAAGTTTATAAAGTTTAAAAATAAGAAGTAAGGCGTGGGAAGTAGGAAGAAGAGCATAAAATAAGTGTGGTAGCCGGTAAATGGTGGGTGTAAGAGAGTATGAAGATATGAGGGAGCAAGGCTTAGGTTAATATGATGAAAGAGTGAGGTCGAGAGAAAACGATGTCTTTCTTGTATATGGATTTGAATGTAGTGGTAATGGGAGAAGTGGGATGAGGCTAAGGGTCATAAGGGACGGGAAAGTGTTGACTTCTACATTTGGTTGGGAACTCGTGCGTGCGGATAGCTGTTGGTAGAGTGGAAAATGACGGAAAGTTGTGGTGTGATGAGCTGACGAATGGAGGTTTGGGATAAAGAGTAACAGAGGACGTGGTTATGAGGAGATACATATGATTGGAGATGTGAGAATGACGAAGTAGGTAGAGAGGAGGAGAATTTCAGGATTTAGAATATTTGGAGATGATCAAAGTACAGGAAATTTGAGATTGAGTACCTATCTACTAGGTATGCAAAGCTCGAGTTTTCATTAAGAAGAGGGGAAACTGGACAGTAAGTAATAAGAAAGTCGAGAGGAAGGAAAATATTGGTATATATTGATGGGTAAGATTCAAGTGGAGTAAGTGAACGGAGAGAGAGAAGCAATTGTTTGGGAAGGTTATATTTAGTAATCTTACCTGGTAGTTGACTCAGGGTAGAGAAAGTTAGAACTTCGAATCGATATTTATTATTCCTTGTCTGTTGGATTTGCTATGCTTATGTATTTGTAATCTTATTATTATGAAGTTGGTGTAATATCGATTAATAGATGAATATAATATGCAGGAAATGAGATGGGTAGAGTACTAGGTATGCGATTTGTGATATAATGTTCAAACAAAATCATTATGTCGAATTCTTGGATCGCGGGAACTGACATTCTCGGAAAGGGAAAAAGCTTTGAAGTGAAAATATGCCCAGCCATTTTGTGGCGGGGTAAGGCGAGAGCTAGTGTGGCACAGAATACGCCTCGTCATCTATCACCTACCTTGTCGGCGTTTCCTAGCACATCTTCTTTCGTTGATGAAATCTAATACAAGAAAAAGATATCCATTGGTTGCACCCAGATTTTTGATGCACGGTTACTTTTTCAAATCTATATCATGTCGAAGATACCTACTAGTTTCTCCATCTCTCATCTCGTCCCTAATAACCCTGTTCCGAAACACTACCTTGGAGAATATCTAACAAGTAACCAACATTTTCAGCAGTTCCCTCATGGCGCTGGAGTTGATGGCCAATTGGAATGTTAATCACAGAATTCGCAATGCGGCACGGATTGATGCTTTAGTGTTGTATTGTTTGTTTGTGATTATAATTTCTTCTGTGGGGGAGGTTTCTTTAACTTATTTGTTTGTTCATTGCACAATGCAAATAAATAATACAATATTTGTTTGTAAATTATTTTGTGATTAATCAATCTTCCCCTGCCTTTATATACTATCTTTCCCTTTGGATCAGCGGAAGCCCGCAGTCCATATCGCATATGCACTTATAAATCGGGTTTGGTGAAGTTATAGGCCTCAAAATTCTATCAAGTGTTAAGGCAGCCCTAGACTTATATCGCATCTCATTGATGAGGCTTCGGCACCATGCATACAATGCATGAATCAGCCTATCTATAGCATGGATGAGGGTGGCCGTTTTTAAGACCTTGTTGGAGGGAATGAAAGAAGATGAAGGGCTGTGAGGTGATGGGTGAAAGTACAAATACCTTCATCTCTCCTCTAGGTGTGGAATAATCAATGTTCTACAGAAATCTGCTCCCTAGTATTTCGATAGTACATTTCATAAGTATATTCAAGCAATACAGTACCCAGCCATTTACATTCAATAGAGCTTCTTTCACACTCGAGCAATATGTCCTCGTCTCGTGGATCATCGATCGATCGAGAGAATGAGAGCTTTCACGACAGCCCTATCACTCCTCAAACTCCAGTTGGAAGAGGAGAGATTAAAACTACATCTTCTCTCGAGGGTCTACAAACGGAGGAACAGCAACGAGTTCTTGATACCGTTGCACATTTGAGAAAGTGCGGCCTTGAAAGCATTTTGCCACTTCCACAACTTGTGGTTTGTGGCGATCAGTCTGCTGGAAAAAGTGAGTAATCAGTTCCTTCTTGGTCATTTGATATCCAGCGGATTAGTTCTGCACTGATTGAAAAGGAAGCTTAAACTTTCCGCCAAAGAGTGCAAGCTAAATTCACATTCACAGGTTCTGTTCTGGAAGCGTTGACCGAGATTCCTTTCCCGAGAAATGACAATCTTTGTACTCGTTTTGCAACTGAGATTAGTCTACGTAACGTGGAAACGGAATCTTTGACCATCAAAATTATTCCGGATAATGAGCGTCCATCCACCGAGCAGGCTACTATTCGAAAGTTTATTCAGAGCATCACAGACTTTGATGACCTTCCCTGGATTATGGATCTTGCAATGGAAGCTATGGGCATTAGTGGTACTCCTGACCCAAATCTTCCGCCACGAGCATTTGCGAGGGACGTCCTTAGCATCGAAATTTGTGGCCCTCACCGTCCCCAGCTTACCTTGGTCGATCTACCGGGCTTGATCGCATCCGAAACTGTAGAAGCAACAGCAGCCGATGTTGATACGGTCGCGAAAATAACAGAGCACTACATAAAGCAACCTCGCACAATTTGCCTTGCCGTTGTATCTGCAAAGAACGATATAGCCAATCAACAAATCCTCAAGCGAGTGAGGGCCCATGATCCTCACGGTGATCGTACTCTTGGTATCATCACGAAGCCAGATACTCTTGATAGAGGCTCTGGAAATGAGAAAGCTTTTATTGGCTTGGCGAAGAATGAGAATGTCAGGTTTAGACTCGGTTGGCACGTGGTAAAGAATCGGAGGTATGAAGAACGAGAGTTTTCACTGATGGAGCGTAACATGGCGGAAGTTTCTTGGTTTCGTTCTTCTAACTTCAAGACTTTGCCGAGGAATCACATTGGCATTGAGCAACTACGTATTCGCTTGGCCGATCTATTGTTTCAGCACATTAAGAAAGAACTCCCGCAGCTCCGCCGTGAACTCGAAACTCAACTATCCAGTGCACGAGAACAGCTTGGTCTGCTCGGCGAGCCCAGATCTACCGCCTCTGACTGTCGAGCCTATCTAGTGCAGTTAAGCACTGACGTACAGAAAATATGTGCTGCTGCCGTCGACGGATACTATGAGGGGCGATACTTCCAATCCGAAGTCAACTCCGAATTTAAACTCGACCCAAAAGCCACCCTCCGTCGAATGCGAGCCTGTGTTCAAATGATGAACACTCGATTTACGGAAACAATGCGCACCAAAGGTCATAAATATCAGATCGACAAGTCTGTCGGGGCAGTTTCGATCAGAGGAACGATACAAGCAGAGGAGGCACGCGAAAACGGTGAATCAGAAAAACTTACAAAGAAGGAGGGTTTGGATTGGGTGAGACAAGCACTCGCTAGAACTCGTGGGAAAGAGCTCCTCGGAAATTACAATCCTTTGCTGATTTCAGAATTATATTGGGAACAGTCTACTAGATGGGAAAAGCTCGCAGCAGAACACATCGAACGAGTATCTGATGCGTGCACTAGATTTCTCAAGGACTTGCTTCTTGAATTGACCCCTAAAGACGTTGAATCACGCTTGTGGTCGTCACGAGTTGAGGACGAGTTAAGAGATCGCAATTCCTCTGCAACCCGAGAGTTGGGTTACTTGATGAAAGACAATGCGAATCATCCAATTAATTACAATCACTACTATACAGATACCATCAAAAACCGCCAACAAGAAAGAGACAATGCAGATCTTGAAAAATATTGTCAGGATGCTGTCGAAGGAGTTGAGACATCTGAGGAGGGCCAGATCAGCTTCGTGGTGCAAAAATTAAAGGAGAATCTCATGAAGAGCACGGAAAAAGACATGGAAGTTGTTACAAGCGAAGCCGCTTTGGATTGTGTTTTAGCTATTTATAAGGTTTGTTATCTTCCATCCATTTCGGATCTATCAAATATTGATACTAATAACTTCGTCAGGTCCTCCAGAAAGTTTTCATTGCAAATGTGACCATCCAGGTAGTTGAGCGCCACATTGTTCGCGGTTTGGAACGTATTTTCGATCCTATCGCTGTAAACAAGATGTCTGATAAAGAGGTGGAGGCTATTGCTAGCGAGCCACCCCAAGCTAGACAGCAGAGAGCATATTTAGAGGATCAAATCAAGAAGCTTGAAGAAGGCAAACAGATCTTCCGAATGATCATGGGCGGTGCTACTACGCTTTAAAATATGCCGCTCTCATGAGAGAAATGCTAGATGCGGCAGATGCGGGGTTCTTTCTTTGGCTTTGTGAAATTGTTATCGATGACTCGAGTACGGAGGTTTCGGAGATGGTGAAGGATGGTGTCAATGGAGCGCTGTTGTGATGGTGGGATAGATTTTCTTTTCTGCTTCGTTTTATCTACAATATTATTTCCAACCCTACAACTCTTCATATCGTATTGGTATTTGCACATCAATAGCTTCATCATTTTCATCACAGTACATCCGATGGACAGAATGAACAGCAATCGAAAATATGCTCGTAATCTAGACATATGGACCATCTAGACTCCAAAATATTATTTCATTTGTAAATCCGAATCAGAACATCGAGAAGTGCTACATTAGCTTCCTGCTTAATTAGTCTCTATTCGTCCATGGAGCAATCTGATCCGCTACAATGTATTAGCTTAATTACAGAAGATCTTAAACCTATCGATCTTCATATATTAGGAAAGAATTGACAAACACTAATAACCTAGTATTTACGGATAACGTTTCCTTTCAAAGCAGACTACTCGAGTACATTCGATATAAACAAGCTTCGAAGCTTATTTCTTCAAAAGTCTCCCAGAACATATGTATTTCTCACCCCGGCAACGCTTAGATTCCTCGAACCCATTCTTCCGTCGGATATATATATCCGTCTCTGAATTCCCGCACTGTTTCGGTACCGAACATAAATTTTCTGTATGGTTTATTGGTTGCATCTTTCTTAGATCCGCGGTTTGAGAGTGATTAGATAAGATCTTTGGGCTAGATTTCGATTAGTCATCTATGATCCTGCGGGTTAAGCTGCTCTTTTTCCTGTTTGGGATAGGCTGGGGTTTTTACGATTCTTTCTCTTTTTTTTTAATGCGGGTTTGTGGTGTCCATGCAGAATTGATGTTACGCTAACCAATGGGTAGGCGTTTTTGCAGGTGGATTTATATTCGTCATTATTGGGAGGATCTTGGGGGGGGATTTCGTAAGTGGAGTTTTGGTTCTTTAGGTAAGTGGATGGATGGATGGACTGTGCCGGCCGTTGGTCCCTTTTTCTGTCTTGAAGATGCATTTTCTATTTTTTGTATATGATTTTTTTTTTCAGGTTGGATTTTGATTGTGGTTTTGTGATATTTTGGGATTACGGAGTCTCTTAATAGTAAATAAGTGCAGTGTCGAGATAGAGAGAAAGATATGATGCCCAATTCGGATTTAGAGACGGAAACCGGGGGAGATACATCGTCGCGGAGTTTGGAAAAAGAGGAGAGGGAGAGTGGAAATTCAAACGCCACTTCTTCAATGCAGGATCGCGATGGAGATACTACTGATGTTGAAACACCACCACGACGACCAAGCTCACAGGCTTCAAAACCACATTCACACTCGAATATACCCGCAAATCCCGATTCCGACCAGGAGAAACCTTCGGTTCCGAATGAGATAAAAGATGAGCGAATCTTAGTTAATTGGGAAGGGGATAACGACCAAGCGAATCCACGGAATTGGTCGACGTTATACAAAAGTTGGATTACTTTTCTGCTGGGTATGTTGGCGCTGAGTGCAAGTTTGGGAAGTAGTATTATTAGTCCAGCCGAAAAGACAATTGCGACGTATGTTGGTGTTAGCTCGGAAGTCAGCGTGCTGAGTATTAGTTTGTATATGTGAGTTTGAAGCTTTCAATTTCTTGGGATAATGAATGTACTAATCTATCTTTCATATAGATTAGGATTTGCATTTGGACCGCTTTGCTGGGCACCGATCTCTGAGCTTTGGGGAAGGAGATGGAGTATGTTACCTGCATTGTTTTGTCTGGGACTTTTCTCCATCGGAACGGCTACGAGTAAGAATGCGGCGTCCATTTTTATAACGAGATTTTTTGGAGGGTTATTTGGTTCGGCACCTGTTTCGAATGTTTCTGCCGCGTTGGGAGATATGTGGAGTCCCAAAGCTCGAGGGACGGCTGTCACATTTTATGCAGTTGCAGTCGTAGGCGGACCAACACTGGGACCTTTGATTGGGAGCGCTTTGCTTGTAAATCCACACTTGGGATGGAGATGGACGGAATATCTAGAAGCCATTTGGGTTTTTGGTGTTTTTGCAGTCGCTTTGATTTTTCTACCAGAAGTCTATACCCCGGTCTTACTCAAGAAAAAAGCTGCTCGTCTCCGCAAAGAAACTGGTAATAACGCTTACTTTCATCCACACGAGGATATAAAACTAGATGCCAAGACAATTATCACGAAACATTTCTCACGTCCGCTGCTAATGCTTACCACCGAACCAATGGTAACCTGCATAGCCTTCTACGCCTCCTTCGTCTACGCCATCCTCTACCTCACTCTCGAAGTATTCCCCATCGTCTTCTCCGAACACCGCGGCTGGTCCCCCGTCATCTCCTCCCTCCCATTCCTCGGTCTCTTCGTCGGCGTCAATCTTGCCGTCGTCGTCAACCTCGGCAATCAACCCCGCTACGCGCGCATCGTCGACGCAGCAGGCGGACGTCCCGTCCCCGAAGCACGACTCGCTCCCATGGCACTCGGAGGTATCTTATTCGCCATCGGTCTTTTCTGGTTTGGATGGACAGCTGCCCCAAATATTCATTGGATTCTTCCCGTTATCGCTTCCGTGTTTATTGGCGCTGGCTTTAATATTATTTTTCAACAGTGTATTAATTTCTTGGTTGATACGTATGCTCTGTATGCCGCGAGCGCCGTTAGTGCTAATACTTTCTTGAGAAGTATTTTGGCGAGTGGGTTTCCGCTGGTGGCGGGTCCGATGTTTAGGGGGATGGGTGTTGGACCTGCAATGAGTGTTTTGGGTGGTGTGGCTACGCTGGCGATACCAGTGCCGTTTTTGTTTATGAAGTATGGGGTTGCGTTGAGGAGGAAGAGTAAATTTGCTCCGTTTAAGGATTAGGTGGTTGCGGAATAAGTTAAAAAAATTGAGATGAATGATGTATATAGATGGTATAATTCTGGTACATATGTGTATATAATGTAGATCTGGCGATAAGGTGCATGTCATAATAGATTAACTCTTTTTATTCGATGGTTAGGAGCATGAATAACAAAGGTAATTTCACAATTCGACTGACTTTAGCAGCAGAGCTAAATCTGGGATGAATTCGCTGTGCTTACATCTGGCGGAGACGATGATACGCTTAAACCCAAGGAAACTCTTTGCTGTTGAAGCAAAGGCAGACCAAATGTTGGCAGTGTAGTGCTTGTAGGGTAACATGGCAACAACTGACAAGATAAAACCAGATAAAGGAATCCCAGCATATGCATATATTCATCCCTCAAAGAATCCAAACTCAACATGCGAAGCCGCAAAGAAGCATCAAAGAATTTCCTCTACCCTGTAGAAATTCTTCTGAACCGCACTGAAAACTCTATCCATATTCAAATCACTTCAGTTCACTTCAGTCTAGTACAAAAAGAAAAACATTGATCCTCGCGCTTTGCGTGTGCAATTTCTAGGCCACGGGTTAAGCGTTGTATATTCATGTATGGTGATTAGAGGTCGTCGGATCTGTGGCTATATCTTACCTCGTGCTGCGCGGTATGGCGGTATGTTTGCTGGAAAGTGGTAGCAGATATATAGTGGGTATATATCTAAGTTTTGAGTATCTCAGGTTGGAAAACTGCTGATGGTAGGATTGATTTTGATGATTCAGAGGGTTTTGTTTACTTAGTTTGAGAAAGACAAATTAACGTTGTGTAGAGGCGGGGTTATTATGGTGATGTCTATTTTGGCCATGGCGGGAGCTTGGGTGAATACGTTTTTAGGTGTTTTTGGTGGTATTTATCCTATAAAGTTCTGATATGCTGGATATGGGGGAAAGTAGAAAATGGTTTGGTGGTGGAAAGTCGATTTAGTGTTGTGGTTAATTTTGATGCTGATGATTATAAGTATTATTTATATTCGGTCTTCGGTAAGCTGGCACACGAAACTTGTAATATCGACACCGGAAATCGATATCTCGGTCATTGCAACTGTTAGAAAAAGAGTGTAAAAAATCTCGAGAAATTTGAAGAAGAGAATTTCAGAAGATCGAGAATATAAGATTGTTTGGGGAGTTGATTGAGATGATATTTTATTGATATTCATTATGCAAGTGATGATTAACATGGATGAGAGGTTTGTCAAGACTGCTCAAACATACCGCGATGTCGTGGACAGTTTTCGGGTTAAAGTGACGGAATGATTAAAGAGAACTGTATGGGGGAAATCTTGGGCAAATAGACAGGTTCGGCTTTTTGATATGAGGGGTTTCGTTGGAGGTTGGATTGAAGAGCTGATAGGGCTGGTGGTAATTGAGGGAAATGGATAATGGTGCTTTAAGTTGGGTTGTGTAACGGAATCTAATTTTTTGGAATTGAGTTGAACAGCGAAGCATCGAGGTTTGAGATGGAATTAGATAAGGAAGTTTAGATGCATGGATTTGGTTTGATTTGAACCACGAGACATGAATGTTCGAGATTGGGCTAAATATTGAAGCGTAAATGTTCTAGACCAAGCAGGAACACGAGGGAGTACATCCTTACATCTTCGCTTTCTGCTATGGTCCAAAGATATCCATCCAATTTCTGAAAGTATATATAATGTTGCTTGGATTACTTTGAAACATAAACTTTTCTACATCTTATGTAGTGCAAATAGCGGGGTAACCCCCTGAATTGAAAGTAAGTCACCCGACCACCACTCCTTAGTCGCTCGCTTCACCTTCCTTAACTTTTACCCCACGTTGTACACCTCAGACCGGCATATACCCGAAATTGAACATATACTCCTTTACGAATGTCGGATGTTCAGAATATTCCTCAAGACTTTTTTTACCATTTAAATATACATACATCCAAAATAAAGCTCTCGAGAGGAAAATTATATCTTCAAACAACAATCATGGCACCACAAAACCTGTTAGAGCTGTTGCGGTCGAGGACTGTGGTCGATTGTGATACTATGGAGTTTGAAGGTGGGATACCTTCACAATCAGAATCAAATTTATCTTCTGACGATGTATCATAGTTGCGAAGACTCTTGGTCCTTTCACAGATTGTACCTCCAATCAAGCGATTGCATTTTTCGAGCTCCAGAAACCAGAGAACAAAAGTCTTCTTCAAGAGACAGTCGAAACGGCGAAAAAGCTCTTCAATACTGGGGTGTTTTCAAATATACAGTATTCGGAATTAGCTGTGGAGATTGCTGTATGTGATCCTCTACCAAAATGCCTATGAGGACAAAGAACTAATTGGAATGTTAGATGGTAAAACTACAACTTGCAATTGCAAGCGTAGTCACGGGATTCGTCCATGTTCAGACAAATCCCTATCATTCGTATGATTATGAAAAAATGGTCAACGATGCATATAGTAGCTTCTCCTCTTCCTCAGAAAGTATGCGAGCAGGGTCTAAAAGATTTAGGAATAATATCCATATTCAAACATCTCGATTCCGATTTTGATACTGAGCGTATTTGTCTGAAAATTCCAAGTACATGGGAAGGACTCCGAGCATGCAAGGTTTTAGAGGAAAAAGGAATAACAACATTAGCGACTACGCTTTTTACGATTGAGCAAGCTGCATTAGCTGGAGAATTAAAGTGTACTTATATCGCGCCTTATGTCAATGAACTGAAAGTTCATTTTGACGCTGAGTATGACCCCTCCGTACCTCTTCACCAAGTCTCACTATAGTTGCAAGTTGATTGTTAATTATAAACAGATTCACGGACACAAACAAAGCTCACAAACTCTGTCACGAAACCCAACAATTCTACCGCAAAAACAATCTCAAAACAAAAGTCCTACCAGCGAGTCTTACAAATATCGACGAAATTATGATGTTAGCTGGTGTAGATCATATCACTATTGCGCCGGCGCTATTAAGAGAATTAGCTGCTACATCTGTGGAAGGCTATACCGTGAAATCTTTGTTTGATGAGGTTGAGAAAGAGGAGCTTAAGTATGAATTGAGGGAATATGCGGAATTGGAGAGTGAATGGAGGATTGCTTTTACGAGGAGTGGAAAGGGAGAGGGAGAGAGGAAGTTGAGTCAGGTGAGTTGTTATTGATAGGATAGCATGCTTTTTGTGTTAAATGTTATGTGTTTGTTAGGGTTTCCTGACTTGGATTTTGTATAGGCTATTAATATCTTTTGTGATATGCAAACGAAGCTGGAAGCGATTTTTGAGGAGTTGAAAATTTGAGGAAATGTGCTTTTAGAAGCGAAGTTGGAGAATGGTTATGGATGTGTGTAAAAATTCTAACTCAAATCCAATATCGCATGAGATGAGATGAGATGATAAAGATGTGAAATGTGCTTTTGATGAACCGTGGAACAGAATACATTTTACTTGATAGCCATCCGAAAATCTTTCTGCTCAAGTGAGATACACAAGTTTTCAAAAGACTACTCCTTCACCATAAAAAATCCATTGATCTCATCATCCATAGAAATTGTTGTCCTAAGGCAATCCCATAAGAAGCTATATATTAGCCTCGCAATGAAATTTAGAACACCAAAGATATTCATATTTTCCTATTTGTCTAGTTTAATAAAGGATGCTACGGAGAATTGGGGTTTGGTCAACATTGCTGAGCCATCCCCCAAAACAAAGATAAGCAAAAATGATAATAAATGAAAAGCCACTCGCACGAAAACGAGGGGCGGAAACTCCCTTATAAGAAGCTATGTTGAGCAGTTTTTTCTTTTTCCGTAATGGAGATGAATGGAGTAAACACTGCCAGACGTGACAAATAAAGCGTTGCGTCACCAGACTTGTATCATCCGCTCTCATATCCGAATATGCCTATATATCTGAACTTTATAGAATTTTCTGAACCTTGTTTAGATTTTAAATTATTTATTGAATTCGCTTTATAGGTTAGTTCGTTCAAAGTTGAAAACAAGGAATTTTGTTGCTGTCACGTTAAATAAATTCTGGGGTTTCACTAAGCATGTAAGGTTATTATTTCTCGAATGGAATGACATTGGGGAAGTAGAGTGATAATGAGCTATAGAGAAGATGATATTTGTTAGAAAAATGTGAAGATATGGTTAGAAATTAATAGTATTGAATTCCATAGTATGGTATAGCTAGCTCCTGATCTCGATGCATGATGTGTAAAGAAAGATGGACTTGGATATATTATGTAACTACTTTCAACTACTTATAAGTAGATCCCATTAACCTTTCGCATATTGTATTTCAGATTAGTTATGTTTGGTTGTTAGTTTGAACTCTGCGTGTTTTATAGCGGTTCCTTGATATAGAATACACAAAACATAAACCGCAGAATACGTTCGATCATCCTCAGGCGCATCGCGTATCCCGCCTTTCTCTTGTCAAAACAATTTCTAAAAGGTATTGGTTTAGTCTGCTTTCCTTTTCCCTTTCAGATTTTCCAGTATTTCTTAAACATGAAAGAATCCGAGTGTCAGAGATGGTCTATGCATCATTGTAAGTCAGTGAAAAGCATAGATGGAGCCTTACGGAGTGCTGGTTCAGTATTGATTAATATTTGATTGGTAATTGCAATTTGTGACTTGATTCAAGATCTTCAAAGGTCAGGGTAAATGTAGAATTATTCATATTTAGTGATTTCTCACCGATAAACCCATTTCTGTTGACGGATAATATGGCAAAAGAGACGAAGAATTGACAGTAATTGAGAGAGATATTACAAATACAAGTCGTTATTATTGATAAGATCTCTACAATGTCGATTTGTCATTCCAAGTAAAGTAGCACTACTGAGGGAGCGTGACATTAATAATTCACCTCCCTCCTGCCCGTGAAACGATATAGCTTAAGTCAGAATGCCAGTGACAGGTCCATAGCTGCCCGAAAACATAGGGCCGATGAACCCTCATCTCCTGGTACCATTTAGTAACCTTAACTTAAAAGAAGGATATGCATCTCTTATATTAATAGATTCCAGCACATGAGCCTGGGAAAGGGTCAAATTTGAAGTGAGAGGCTGATTTTGTGTTCGGCTTTCGACGATAAATTGGTTGGTGAGAATAGACTTCATCAAATCCAGAGGATAGTAGAGTAGTTGACGTTACATAGCGATTTTTGTAGAGAGGAATGAATGTTTGCAGACCAACGTGATCAACAGTAAGAATACAGCCAGCAATTGTGAAGAACCGGTTCGGCTATAGATGCTGCCCTGCAGATGTATCAGAAGAACAGAGACTATAACATTTGATTTAAGAAACTAAGATGATGACTATGGCATGTGGTTTTACAATTGCAGGTCCAAATGTTCAGATAAACTCAACCTGACGGATTTTACGCGATAATGTCTTAAACTCGTGTGATTTGATGTTATGCATAATAATGAAGATATCCGCAATTGGATAATGGAGGCTCAAAAGACGTTACATAGTGATGAGAATGGGAACCTCAAATAGTCAGGTGCTGCAGATCTGATATTTGTAATTCGCCTTTCAAGTTTCTCTTACCATTTATTTATCATCATGCTCCACAAAGTCTTCCATACCTCCAACAATCTTATTCTACATATCGATATTCTTTCACAGCATTTTTCTAAACCCTGGGACTAAACAAAAGCAGGATAATACGGCGAAACTCACCGAGTTACTCATATGCACTGCGTAAACACGCTTACCGGACTCTGTAATATTATATCTACAAAAGATAGGTATGAATAATGAAATCTAAACACCTATCAATTTGCGTAGCGTGTGAAAGGTGACACTCGTATCCAATTTCAGCTAACGTTATGTTAAGTTTAATGCGTACCGGCACGTGTTTATTAGGTAGATAGATAATCCTTCCGTGGCACAAAACTGATAAATTATTGAAAAGAGATGGGAAAAGAAGTGTCGGAACAGGGGATGTTCCCAGGCCAGCAACAGGACTGCGATTTGGGTTATTGGTATGTGATATTGTGGTGGAGGTGAAATATTTAATTGTGTACGAGGTAGTGAATGATACTGTATGAGATTGACTTCACTTTCTATGACTGGGAAATTTCACTTGAACGCTCCTGGACCTTCGTTTTGCCTTTCATTGAAGCCTTGAGGGTATATCTCCAATATGAGTTTGGACTGCCTGCCCCAGTTCATGGGAGTGTCGAGACTATATGATAAATGGTTTGGATAATGTGGTGAAATACCTGGGATACAATGAGATCCAATCTTATGTAAATTTACCTAGCTATAGTTACCTAGGAGGTCAAATCGATTATGAATTCACTACTCCTATTTTCCTGGAGATTAAGAGCTCTCCTCTCAATGGACTAAGGTATCATAAAAACTGAATTCTTTTCCATTCTTACTTCTTAGGATGGAAATCCCCTGACCCTTGTATGAGGGGTTGCAAAAGTTCTTTTAGTACCTACCTATGTTGTGGCTGTCTCTTCTTGGTAGTCTGAGATTTCATCTCATCTCGTCTCATCAGCAAGTTGATTTCACCCACAGTGGCTTTCATCTGATGAATGTGCTCTTCCCTCTCAAGATTCACCAAGTTATTTCTCGATGATGAGAATATATCTTTTGTGGCTCCAACGAGGGATCAATTGGTTCAAGTAAAGTGAACTATAGAAAATATGATAGGATTGGCTAAATTACAGGAATATTTTTCACCATTGATACCTCGATGCCTCGGTGCCTCGAGACCTCAACCACGATCAAAGTAGGTGGTTTCTACTAATGAAATACCGGACAGAATACTAAGCTAAAAGCCTCTTCTTCAGCTTTCTGTTCTCCGAAATATTTTCCTTTTTGCAAACAAATCAACAACCAACATGTTTCCCATCATGGCCTCCCCTCTTATTTTGGATCCCAAGGTGGCCAAGGAGAGTAAAAATACAGGAACTTGGAGTAGAATATCCAGTGAATCTCAAACAGCAAATTCGAAGCTGTTTAGCGAGAAAAATTCAAGTGATTTGAGACGCGCTTCTACAATTAATATTGGTGGAAGAAAGACCTCTCTGCAGCATCAAGAACGTGGCAATATACAGCTGGAGCCAACCGCTGAGAAAATGGATACTGCTGGAGAGGAAAGCCCCGGTGAGCTGGGTGGCTTTGGTGGACTTGGAATCAATTTCTATGACCATCTTGGTAATAAGATCTTGCCACAGGTAGCGGAGTCACCCCGAGCACAGGGCACTCGATCTCCTCGACCACTTGGTACTCAGAAGCCTACCTCGCCGCTTCCCAGGGGTGTGTATCATCCTCACTTCCCTGCACTTTTACTTCTTCATTCTACCACGGAAAAGATATCTTGATAGGCGGTTACTGACTTGCTGATCATGTAGACCCGCCTGTCGCTGCGAGAGCACCTTTGATAATTCGCGAATCATTCACGAGAGACTTTAGCTTCCCTGGAACTCCAGACCCGGAAGATATTGTCGACAGCGACCATTTACTTGGCACCCTTCTCGAGAAAACTCTTCGCGAACAATCAGACGCTCTTTGCCCAAGCCCAACGAGTAGCAGGAGGACCTCTGCTCATACCAATTCACCAAAGAGTATCCGTCAAGTATCTGCCGCCAAGCCGATTGTTACTACTAGTGCTTTTGGAATCAGAAACTATACGGCACCACCGGAAATGCCTTCTTCTTCACCTACGCTCTCATACACACCAACCCGAGGTCCAAAGTTGGGTATTACGACAACAATACCACATTCGCGAGTTACGAGTTTGCGAACACCCAATAGCACCGAGTTAGAGGGTCGTGATTATTTCAATTTTAAAATCTATGAAGAAAATAGCGGTTTCACTCCCGAGGCACTAAAAGGGACCCAGTTTACACTAAACTCTAAGATTTACCGAATTCCATCATCCCCTACAATCGCCAAGCGCACTTCCCGAACTAAGCCATCTAAGCCACAACGTGGTGAACTGTACTTCTTCGAACACGAGCGACAAAAGATTGAACAACTTGTTGCTCAGAGTAAAAACAGAAGTTGTATAAATCATCAAAATTGTACCGATTGTATCGAGAAGGAATACGCATACTACGAGAACAGAATCATGTCTACTTCAATGCCACCAGAGCGTCGCCAACAGATCATGAAGGCGAATCGATCTATTCGCAACATCAAGAATGTAGGGTAAACCCTTCGTCTTGGGATTTAATCTATGCTGATACTTCCGCAGGAACTCGAAAACCTTCTCGAAGATGAACTCATTACTTACGAGGTGTATGAGCTTATGATCAGTAAACTTCCCTCCGAAACCAGTTTGAACGCGACATCTTCCCCCGCTCCTCGTGCCAATGCCGTGTCCCCAGCACCGGTTGTCCCAGTTGCCGCATTCTCACAGTTGAACGTCAATAGCGACAACCCTCCACCATCATACCAATCAACTCCAAATCTCCCTCCTCGCGGACCAACTCAACCACCTGCTCGACCAGAAATCGGACGTGCGACCGCTCTTTACCGTTACACTGAACCCGAAGACTGCAACTTCGATGTTGGAGACATCATCATTATTTATGAATATATGAATGACGACTGGTGGATGGGCAAGAATGAAAAGACCGGAAAGGAGGGTGTATTCCCGTCCAACTACGTTCAGAAGCATGCCAACCAACCCGCACAGCCTGCCTATTATGGCAACGAGAAGGCTACCTACTCTCCCTACGCTCCCCAACAACAAGGACCACCTGGACCACCTGGACCAAGCAACCCTTACAACAGCTCTGTTCCTCCCATGGCTGTCGCAGAACAACCTACAGACGATAAGCTTAGCAAGGGAGGAGAGATGGGAAAGAAATTTGGCAAGAAATTGGGTAACGCTGCTATCTTTGGTGCTGGAGCAACAATTGGTGGCAACATCGTCAACTCGATTTTCTAATCTTGAAAATTTCGCATCCACAACAACCAGGTTTTCATATCCCCTGAATTACATTTCTTTTGGCGTCTCCAACAATCCCAATGATTACTCTTTAGGGTTTTTTCATACTTGACCACAGGGATTACACCATTTTCGATTTGGGAGTTTTCTTACACACGGTGGCCATGACCATACAGTGCTTGGTCTTTTTGGTCTTCATATATTCGGAGTTCTGGCATGGGTTGAATAATTTTCTGTATTTGCGGTTTTTGCAATGGATGACTTTGGGGCTTTCTCAAAATTGTGTTAGGGATTCACATCCAGGTCACTGTGCGATTTGTACCTAGAAATACCTGATCATCACTGGATATTAAATAATATGAAGCTTTCCTATTACTGAAAAATATACTCCTCCACGTGCCATGACATGCTCTCTTCATAAAATCTCTGGAATGGCAATTTGAGCCACATCACGTGTAGATAGTAGATAGATATCGGCATTACCAATTCGACATTATGTTATCGACGTCACTGTTGCCCCGCATTGCATAGACGCCTTTGTATCTGAAATATCCCACCTTTGCCCACATCTTCTACCTCGAACAACAATTGTAAAAGTCACAGAAGTCCTAAATCACTACGATTTTTCAGTAAAATTTCATAATGGAAGCTCAACATGGACACAGCGCAGCTTGCTGCAATATCCCACCCATTGTATCCAAAGGATATGAACACAAGGGAAAATATGAAACCATTGGTGGTCTAAACACTTGTAGGTATTCCCATCGGTCGGATCGGTCGGTCTCCAAACATATCTCCTACTTTATATTTGAACACTCTCTCCAAGAAATTTCTCTATCTCGTTCCTCCACCATATTTCAACTCCAGCTAACCTCCCACCCCAAGATGTCACCGGTCCCGCAGACGCCAAAAAAGCCATCTTCATGATCTTCGACATCTTCGGCTTCTATCCCCAAACCATCCAAGGAGCTGATATCCTCGCCAACTCCGACGAACATAATAAATATCTCGTTTTAATGCCAGATATTACCGAGGGAAACCCAGCTGATATTAGTTGGTATCCACCTGATACTGAAGAGAAGCAGAAGAAATTGGGAAATTTCTTTCAAACGACGGGATTACCTCCAAAGTGTGCGGAAAGTGTCCCGGGCTTGGTGAAGGCGATGGGCGAGAAGTATCCTTCGATTGAGAAGTGGGGTATGCTTGGGGTGAGTTTTTTATTTTTACTTGCTAGGAATTCAGTTGGTCATGAATTAGAATGGAGATGGATATCTGTGGTTTGAGAATATGGACTGATACTTTTGATAAATAGTTCTGTTGGGGAGGTAAAATCGTCTCCCTCACTGTCTCTGCTCCTTCCAATCCTTTCGTTGTGGCGGCCGAGTGTCATCCAGCTATGGTTGATTCAAAAGATGCAGCGCAGATTAAAATTCCGCTTATTATGATAGCATCGAAGGATGAAGATGCAGAGGAAGTGAAGAAATTTGAGGCGAATCTTACCGGAGAGAAACATGTTGAGACTTTTAACGATCAGATTCATGGGTATGTTACTCCTATATTTTCTGTGAAATTTTGAGATGTGTAGTAAGTTCACTTTACTGATTTTTGAATATAGATTCATGGCCGCACGATCGAATCTTGAAGATGAGGGGGTCAAGAAAGAGTATGAGAGGGGTTATAAGACGCTTATTCAGTTCTTTGGAAAACATTTAAAGTAGGAGCTTTCTTTTTGTTTTTGTTCTGGTTGGTTGGTTGGATGAATCAAGAAAGTTCGCTGAGGTGTGTAGTGTCTATAAAAGTGCCGGGGCAAGATTGTAATAGGAGTTCGGTCTACATTCATTTTTAAAATGCATTTTGCCGTTTGCAATACTCTAGGCATCTTTTAATCGTCATGTTATCTAGAGGGCTTTGCTTCACGCCAGTTAAGTTTCGCTGCTAGAATACCTGAATGTTTAGCTCATGGAGAATTGTTCATTGTATCTATTTAAAACATTGCGATAATGTTGAAACACTGCCGTTATATGCACTATTTCTGCGAGCATCTCTGATACTAATTTAGCACTATTGATATAAATCATAACCCAACCCTCCCCTTTCACATCAACCCCCAGCCACACAATTCCTCATAACCCCTCCTCTTCCCCCTTCCTCTCCACCCATCACCCATCACCCTCCACCCAAAACCCACACCCCTAACCAACAACACTCGCCTCAAAAAAAACACAACACACCCCCTCCACCCCCAAATTCTTCACCTCCCCCTTAAACCACCGATGCGCCTCACACGAATCCTCATAATACTTCATATCCTCCAAATCTTTAAATTCGGTCTTTGCGACGACGGAATAGCCTTGGGTGCGGGGATCGTTGGGTTGGGATTCCCCTGCTTGCAGGGAGAGGATGTAGGGGGTTGAGTTCTAGGGGGAGGGGTGGTTAGTTAGTTGGTGTGGGATGGGGTGGGGGATGGGGGAGGAGGAGTGATAGTTACTTTGACGGCGGTTTTAGATAGCTTTTCGTAGTTTTTGAGGAGGGCGTCTCGGGAGGATTGTGTGGGTGCTTTGAACATGGTTATGCGGATTATTCCTGCCATTTCTTTTTGGTGGTGGGGACGTGTAGTTTTAGAAGTTTTTGATTTTAGCTGTGAACGTTTCTGTCTCTAGTATTTGTTGATTGATTGGTTAAGGTTATTAGATATTTCTTCAATTGGTGATGAGAGAGAATGAGATAAAAAAGGGAGGAAAGAAGGAGAAGAAATTCCAAGTAGAGCTTAATATGGGATACTTTTATATAAACACCTACGAGTCGTACCTATCAAAATATACTATATCCAGCAGGGACTAGCATAATATGCATGCTTGGACACTAATTGATAAAAGTGCTAGAACGATGGATAACCTTACCTCTCTACTTCTGATGACGAGTATAAATCTATCCTCGGAATTATCATTGCAGAGCAGAGTGCTCAGATTGGTTGGATTTGAGATCTTAATAGGAATACCTCACTCGAGTTCTTGACTGCCAATTCGTACGAGACAAGTGTATTAGCAGTGAATTTGAGATTTGAGCGGGGCGTGGGGCACTGATGGGGTTGTTTGTGGTGGGTCGGGATAAACCGAGAGGTGGAGGAGGGGTTTGTGGAGGCGGAAATGTTTCCGCTGAGATGGATGGGGATGTGATGGGAAATTGATATCATTCGTGATGGAGTTTTTGAGACCTGTAGTTAATTTTTTTCTTTTCATACTGTTATGATTTTACCAGTTCTTTTGTCAGGTAGGTACTGGAGTTTGAAATACCATGGCCTTACAATTGGGTGAGATTCGACTGGTCAACCCTGGTTGATCACGATTAATATTAGACGCGTTAATATTATATATCGAATCACATATCATCTCGCACAAATAGGCCATCTATTGGTAAGGGGATGCATTTAATCAGGGAATAAAGGCATCCCGCATGGCCTCTAGGGATGAATGCTTACTTGGACCGTCGTGTTTTGGGTGGAAGAGACCAGTCAAATAATACAACTCTGCAATGTCCCTTCTCATCCTTACGAAAGCGTGAAATCTCAGGATTATTGGTGAGATGGATGCATCGCACAGGCATGTTGCCGTGAAATAAGGCTGCCTGCAGGGCACTCAGAGTGGTATTGTTTGCCAACCAATTTGGGCTTAGGGCTTTGCTGGAGGGTAAGGCGTGCAGTACCAGCCTCACTTCAGATTGAGGGATACCCCGTAATGAAGTCTGAAATTTTGCTGTATATACATTTGGTATTCGATGGTGTCGGGAAACTCATTCCCTCAACATCACTCCCGATTCACCAAACAGTACCACCTTGATTCGAAAGTTGTATCTCACGGGGAATTAACATAAAATCTTACATCATGTCGGACGCTCTCGACGCGATTCAAGCCCTGTACGACACGGGCAAATATTCGGATATGAAAATCTGTTGCGAGGATAAAGTGTTCAATGCTCATCGTGCAGTGATCTGTATGCGGTCACCAGTGATCGCTGCTGCTATGGATAATGATCGTTGGGTGGGTAACATCCAAAATCGAAGATGATGTACACCCTCTGATGAAGCATTAGGAAGAAGCTGCAAAGGGCGAATATCATATGAGTGATGATGAGCTGCCAGTTGTGGAAGCCATGATTCGTTATTTGTACCTTAGAACGTATGATGATCAGGTAGTAGGGCCGCCTGAAGCTTTGAGCAGTCATTCACAGTTGGAAATCGGGAAAGACGAGTTGCCGCTTCCACTTACACCAGCATTTAAGCCGGAATCTGAGCTGGAACCCGAGCCCGCGCCCGATTCCGAGCCCGATTCCGAGCCCGATTTAGCTCCATGGTACGCAACAGCCAAACTTCCCGAAGTGACACCAGTCTCGCTACCTTCATCACTACTCTTCAACGCTAAGGTCTACATCATCGCCGATAAATACATGATCCCAGCACTCAAAACTCTAGCATATGAGAAGTGTTCAAAAAGCCTAGAAGAACATTGGAACACGCCAGAGTTTTCTGCTGCTGCGGAATTGCTCTGGGAAAACACCCCAACCTCTGATATTCAGCTTAGGGACTCTGCGGTTGCAACTGCTGCGAGTAATATCGACGTGTTACTTGATAGAGGGGAGTTTGTGGAATTCATGTCTGCGCATGGCGATTTTGCTGTCGAGGTTTTGAAGAGAGTGACTAGAAAAACCTACCCGGACATCACGTCGTATGTTCCGCCACATTACAGGAAAGCACGACGTTCTGGATTTCATTTCTAACTCTTGCTTATTACGCGGAGTCATGGTCATGTTTTCTTGGAGTCGGACATAGATATTATGGGTCTGCTGGAAATATTCATATTATTCATTGTTTTCGTCAATCTTCATGGGACTTTGCGAAACGGGAGTGGTCAAGCTTAATCCTTTAATGGCAACAGGTTAAGTTAAAACAACCAGGAATTAAAATTTGTAGAGCCAATAACCAGTATTTTTCTTAATGGGAGAGATTCCACGATCCAGAAGAAGCATGATAAGTCTAGTACCCTACTTTTGGACCACCCCTCTTTTGGACCACTCTTTGTTACGAAGTAACAGCTGATCTGTCCATACGAGCTCGGACCATTTGGAAAAGCAAGGAGATTCACATACAAAACTGTATAGCAATTGACTCATGTGGTCTCCCCACTTTAAGCAAGCACAGACATCGAATCTGATCGAAAACACGTGATCAAGAATTCCCACCGAGCTGAGGAATCCCACTATGGTGGGAAATATTCCCACCTTGATGGGACGATAGAGGGCAGTGGGATGCATAGTACGAAGGTCTATATAACTGGAAAGATTTTCCTTATTGTAGAGCTTCGTGCTCAAGATCAATCATTTAGTATACTCTACTATTAGCTACGAATAGCATATCATTATTGTCATTACTTTAAGTCCCTGCTTGACGCCTAGTTATAAACCTACCTCGAGAGCCTAGAGCACTTCCACGTGATCTAGACGGCTACCCTCGTAACAATCAATTAATAATTCAATGATGAACTGTACAATAGTCCTCTTACGATTAGTACCTAGTAGTTTTGGTTGGGTTTTCTAAAAAAAAAAAGATTCGGTTAACCACTAACCAATCGACTACACTGATTGTAGGGTGGTGAAATTGCTTGGCTAATATACGGTGTTCGCAAACAAATTCAAGCTCATTGTCGGGCAATCAAACACAATGAGACCCTGATCTAAATTGGTGCCTGTTAACGGCGCGGGGGTATAATGCCGGTTTTTTTTTTTCTTGGGCTTTCAACTCTACAGGCTACTACAGCTTTGTACTTCTACTTATCATGAACGAGGACGAATGTCCACGGTTCCTCCGGCAACCCTCAAAATCCTTCGCAGTCTTTGACAAATTCAGATTACCATTCCCTCGCGCATTTCCAGGCCTCCGAAGTCTGCGAAAATATCTACACAAAAATCTGGACATGGCTATTTTCAAGGGAGCCTTTTCTTGGCCTTGAAAAAGCCAGACTGATGCTTTTTGAATGCTCCCAAGATCCTGAACATTCTTGCGGAGTCTCCGAGGGGTCCTGTATTGATTTAAAGCTCATTGATTGTAAGAGCCGACACATTGTCAGCAAGCCATCCTCTACTCACTACGCTGCCCTTAGTTATATCTGGGGCGGCACAGAGGCTGCTCTTTCCGAGGATGGACCCGATGGGCCGAGGCTTGCAAGCCGAGTCTCTCTTGTCATCGAAGACGCCATCAAGGCAGCATTGTATCTGGGCTTTCGGTATCTGTGGGTTGATCAGTACTGCGTTGAACAGATAGACAAAGAGTTACAGGAGCGACAGATTGAACAAATGCACCAGGTCTACAATAGTGCAGACGTTACACTAGTAGCAGCTGTAGGTGATGATGCGAACTCGGGATTGGCGGCTGTTTGCCCGTCCTCGGAGGTAGTCACAGAATATTTCCGCAATGACACGTTATTCCCATATGAAAGTAGGTGGGCCACAAGTGGGCTTTCTAGATCCCTCAGATGCATTAGGGAGTCAGTCTGGAACACGCGCGGCTGGACCTACCAAGAGAGTTATGTTTCACGTCGGGTGATCATTTTCCACGGATATGGGATTTACTTTGAATGCCTTTATGTAGAGTCAGTTTTGAACCAGTTCCGTATTCTGGGAGGAACCGGTGCCGATCAGGGCATTGAAAATGGACCTAGAATGCGCAATTTCGCAAAGTATCGTCGGGGGGACGTGATGTTCTGGTTGACGCAGTCCATCGTTGAATACTCACAAAGAACGCTCAGATACCAGAATGACACGATCAGAGCTTTCTCGGCCATTCTACAGGACTTTGAAGGAAACATGTCTGTGCCTTTTCACGACGAAGATTATAGGAATCCATATTTTGGTTTCTACAACTATGAGAGTCCTTGGCGTATTGTAACAGTTCAAGGAGTCCCATTTTATGAGAGGTTGCCGCCCTCCCCAATATATTCATCTGCTATTCCTTCCCATCTATGGCTACCAGGTGATAGACTGAACACGACAGGACTTTGTTGGCACTACGATCATTGCACCGGCGGTGATAATGCAAGTTCGCGCAAACCAAATTTTCCATCTTGGTCATGGGCGGGATGGACCTGTCCAATCAAATGGAGGATTCCAAAGTTACGTTCTCCATATGGATCTCGAGGAAATCAGACAGGCACAATCTTTCACCTTGAGGATATGGGATTCATCGAGAAGTTAGAGAGTTCCCAGGGACTGGAAATTAATGAGGCAAAGCAAGCACAACACGCGTTGCTGTGTTTTTCTTCTGTTTCCTTCCCCGCCGAAGCTTTCCTCGCCGAAGATTTCCTTGTGGTAGACCCAGGAAAGCAAGCAGATCACATGATCTGCCTATATGAATACATCATAGCATGGCCCAAGGAGGGCTACCTCTGCTACTCCGAGGGCCTCTCAGCCGTTCTCGAGGGATTGCAGCAGGGCACACACAGACTGGTGCTGCTTAATGTCCACTTTACAGCTTACTTTATAGAGTTTCAGGCATGGATGCTCCGTAAGTGCGAAACAGGAAAGTCGTGTTATGAACGCATTGGGAGCGGCTATCATGAAATAGAACGTGATACAAGACTGACGAAATACTTGGAAGACTTAGTTGAAGACACCAAATTGGAGAGATTTAATATATGCTAAGTTGGCAGGCGCATGTTAAGTTGAGGTATTTTTAATAGATAAGCATTTCTAAATCGGTTTTCTACCTAATATAAGTACGAAAAAATCATTTGTAGTAAAGTGACAGGTTTGACATCCCATGAGAACCAAAAAGCGTGACATATCAACATTGTGTAACCCTTGAAAACGGAAAGAACGTTCACGATGCTTCAGGGATTTAAGGATTTTGTTTAGAGTTACTTTGCTTCCGCAGTGTGAGATCAGAACGCTGTCGATATGAACATGTGGGACTTGCGGGACACGATTTATAGGGATGTTCTTTGAGTATGGGCTGGATGTGGAGAGAGTGTCCAATAGTCAGGGCTGCAGGATGACGTAGATGTTTCGAATCAAATAGCCTATTCTTAATTTTGAAATATTTCAACGGGCTAGATTACAATAAAAACGAGTTAGACTTTAGCTCGACTTTTGGACTATATAATTGTTTTTAGATTATAAAAATTGAATTCACTCTGAAATATAAACTTTGTTTATATTCACTTTTTTCAATACAAGAATAATTTATTAGACTGTCTAATCTAGCCTTTTTTATTACTGAAAATCCCTTAATGATCTATACGATTCAACAAAATCACAAACTAGTCCCCCGGACGACTGTCCGAACTGTCCGAACGGAGTAGGCGAAGACTACTGGATACATTGAATAGAGATGCCGGTGTTTGAAATTTTTATAAGGCAACCTTGAGATCAAAATCTTTATAGTCTCTAATACATTAGATTAGGTTGATGTGTGTTTCTCGATTTAGAGTTGGGTTGCAATATCTTCGATTTGAAACTATGTTTACATCTTCAGAGTGTTAATTATATGGTACTCTTATTATGAGTAGATTTTGGGACTCTATATCACACTTCAGCCACAGATCCGTTGCAAAGAGCGAATGCGTCACAGCTAGTTTTCCGGTGCAACGTAATCTTACATTTTAGCGAGAAATCTTGCACTTTTTTATACAAGATAAATGTGTATAAAACTCATTCTATCCTTCTAAAAAGAAATCGCCAATAATCTAATAGCGAAACAATAATTTTGCACCTATATGCAAGTCATAAACTACCAACATACACATCAACCCCCAAACCTCTACGTAAGAGCAATCGGACAACCCAAATTCCCAAACAAAGGATTCAACTTCTTAAGAACAAACGCAAGCGTATTAACAGTCGGAGTAAGAATACTATTCAACGAAGAAGGAATACTCTGCGTAGCAAGCTGATAGAGCAAGCAAGAAGTCTGCGAAGCTTCCGGTGGCGCAATCAATGTTCCATTTTTAATAAATCCAAAATTAAGAACGTCAAATCCACCATTTCCGGTGGCACCACCGAAGAGAACGGGATATTGGAGATATTGGGCGAGAATTTCTACAGCGACGTCGACGGTTGTATATGGCGTTACGCGATTGGTCCAGTTAGCTGGGATCTTTTCCCCGCCGTTGAAGGAATAGGAACCATCTGCATTTTTTACGGCTCCGAAGAATGAGGAGATGGTTTCATAGTCTGGGACGTAGTTTTTGGTTCCAGATGGCATTAACTCATAGAGGAAAGAGGAAGCACCGAAGAGGAGGAGGGTCAGAGGACCAAAATAGAAGTTTGGGTTGTCTCGGAGGGATTGTTGGTAACGCTGGCTTCGGTATAGAGCCAATCCGTCACGATCATAAGTTCCACCAGTAGTCTCGGTCATCATTCCGAAAAGTGTTCCGTTGAATGAGTAATTATCGCCATCGCCAAGGAAATAATCATTGCGCGTGAGAGATGTATCAGACTCAAATTTGTTGTGTCCATCCAAACCTGGTTCTGATCCAGTCAAAACTGGAGAATAAGATGTCCGTGAGGTAGCATCACATCCAATGGACAGTTTCTCGGTAACAATATCACCATCTGATAATGTAAGGCCGAGAACAGCAAGAAGATTCGCCAAGTCATAACCGACGTTATACAAATTTTGTTGAGCATCAACAAGCTCATTATATGTGGTAATGCCATCTCGAGCAAGGAAATTGTGATTGGCGGCAGCGTTTAAACCGGGACATGGTCCACGAATATCTGTGGACTTCGGTGCGATAAATTGGTGATCAGTGTCTCCTGGTGCTGGAACTTGATAACCACCAATCCCTTTACCTGGAAGACCATTCTTGGCTCCGTTGTATGAATAAGAGGCTGAGATGCCTGGAGCGGCGACATGATCTGCGTTGAATGGACAGGAACCGGGGCTTGGTTGCTGACGTTTGTTTGCGCGCAGCAGACTAGAATCAACACCAGGCAAATTGGCAACGAATGGAAAAGCTGTAACAGCCTCAGCCATGAGGGTAATTGCGACTAACGAGTATTGCATTTTCAGACAGATTTGGGGTATGAATGCAAAAGTTGTTCGATTTCCTGAAGAATGAATGCAATGAGGAAAGAATGATGAGGGAGAATTGAGCTGTATATATTCAAAACTTTTCTACTATGTCCAGGGCATCTCGAAGAGGAAGATTGTTCCCCTTCACGCCACGCCGTAATCAGCTACAATTCTTCCTACATGGAAGCAAATGAAAATATTGTCCTTGAGAGACCCCCTCGCACCAGCTTTAGTTAGTGAGCTTCTCTAAAAGTCTCTTCCACGCCTCCACTATGCCGGGAAGCAGAAGATCATCCGCGACGGCAGAATCCTTATAGTCACAAGAACCTGGCTGGCTGAACGCCAATTGAGTGATCCGCAACGGATCTCGAAGCACGAAAGTGATCAGCGATTGCGGCTTAACATGGACCAATTGACCATGATGGCAAACGTGGGGAAGATGTACTAAAGAAAAACTCAACCAGCTACACTCGGATACCAAGGTACCCACTTCGATTTCTTCGAAGGGCGCACAAATAGATGCAATTCTAATTTCGATTCATCGATATGTGACACGCACTGCATACCATCACTAGAATCGACACTAATGAAAATATCCGATTTTTCTCCCATTCAACACTTTACCCTGCAGTTGGTTCGATCTTGCAGCTGGTCAAGGAACACCATGCTCATGCAAGGGGATCCAGATCTGGCATCAGCCCCGTGCCGCATATCACTACTAGACAATGGATAATTCAAATAACCATGAAAAATTGCGCTTGCAAAGGAATATTGGATGAAATGGTGCTCGTGCACCTCAATATGATGATGATAATTACCCACAGAATCCTACATGTGATTGCAAGACCATAAAACTGCGTAAGAGGCGTCTAGACAGCTGAGCTCCATTCATCCAGTCGTTGGATGCGTGGCATAGCACTAGCAAAGGCTTCATTTGCAGCGCGCAAAACTTCTCCATCCACAATCAATTTACTCAAAATTCGTGACATGAGATGGATGGAAACCCGAATATCCGGAATAGATTTCAGCTTTCTATGATTTCAGGCTTATAATCAAGCTTCTACTGTCAGCGCTAGTAGTTGATAATTTAGCGGATTGTCGGGCATTTAACAGGATCCATAACTTTAACCCTAACACCCCCTCTTTTTCTTTTGACATGATGAAACTAGAGTTTAGGTCAAAGCCTTGTTGAAAGCTTAATGCTTAATGAAAAAGATCTTCATTATCTAGCTCAGACGTCAATATCATGATGAACGACTGGGCATTCCGTGTGCTTGCTTATTTTTTTAAAACGAGGAGATAATATTTGCTATTCAAAATAATCAAATGAAGAATGAATCGCGAAAGCAGGCCTAGATCTTGTATTTGCATTCGTACACCCGTGTACGATGACCGACCGTACTAACTCACAACATTGGCCGCGGAATTCTCGTGAAAAGCTCAAGAACGCTCTCATGCATGGAAAATGAGGAAGAGAAATTGAAACCTGCTGCAAGGTTGAGAAATTCGTGGAGCCCGGTCATGAAGAATTGCTACAGAACAAACGTGTACAGGTTTAACTTGGTAATATTCCACGGCCTTGGAAATTAGTTGGCCCAAATCTAGCGGGCTAAAAGAAGGTATATACCTACGTTTGAGAATGCAAAACACTGAGCATCTTAGTTCTCTATCCGCAATTCCCCATAATTGAAATTTCACCACTCACTTTCCACCCTGTACCAACCCCAGGTATACATTCCACCCAATCCCGGCCAAACTCCCCAATAGAGCCCGTCCCTGTACACTCTTGATGACGGCAAAATTGCTCAGACTAACAAATGGCCATAATTTCCAACCGGCCTTCATCATATCCCAGTATTCTTCCTTAGAACTTTGTATAGCTTGTGGGAGACTGGATCCTCGGAGGACTGAAAAGGTTATGAGGAAGAACATTACGTTCAGGATTGCGATAAGGGTCTGGTCGAGTAGGACTTTGAGGATGGTGTTTGTGAGTGAGAGGGATTGGGCTGGTTTTGGGGATTTGGAGGATGAAGACTTCTCCGAGACATTTTGTGAAGGAGGTTGTTTCTTGGAAGGCAGGAGATCTTCGAGGAGCGATTGTCTGATTGCAGATTGTTAATTGAGTTCGGGATATGAGGGTGAGTCTGGTCGCAGATTGTAGCTTTATTTTCTTTGCGATAACCAAGTATCACACAGAACAGAACTCACAAATAGAAATTTGGCGGCGCGCTCAGCGCGCTGTAAAGGATGAAGTGAGAAACCGGTGCCCAGTCTATCGTGAATGCAGTCTATATTTTTGTCAGTCTGAGTATTGATAGCAATATGGAGAGGCAGAGGTCCATGCATTATTTTGGTGCGCGGAGATAAATTGTGCGATAATGTTGCTTGCTCCAGATAAGATGCACGATTGAATCGTTGTATTTATGACGGCAGAAGGCATCTTAACTATTGCTTTGTTGCTTTGAGCTCGATTTGAATTAGTTGATAAGGGAGAGAAACGTAGAAGTATGTGTCCTTTAAGTGGTTGCTTTGTATGACGTTCGGCTCGAGTAATTCATGTCGAGGTTGTACACTCTTTGGTGGGGAGCATTTCCTTGTTTCTTGGCTCACAGCAAATGCTATCCAGATTTCGAAAGATCTCAAGCTCGACTCCTCATCATCTTAGTTCATCAATTACCTTGCTGTATATTAACGGCGACTCGAATGCTCAGCCTCCTTGCTGGCAGAGTTGATCAGTCGCCGAGAACCCAGACATCCTACCTTCTATCATTTCAAAGAGTGCGATTGTGACGGCGAGTTTGATATGCTGAGGGCAGCATTTCAAGTCATGGAGCAGACAGATGCCAAGTGGTTACAACGTGCATCGCAAGATTTCATGTAGAGCTTCCCATGGAAGTAGGTATGTATGAAGTCGAGATGAATAAGTGATGATTGGGGGAGAAAATTTTATGCAACAAGCACAGCCTTGCATAACATTATGCATAATTACGGATACACATATCAATTTGGCCAAAGCAACTGCAAGTGCGGTCCTCTTGCTTCTGCACGTTTTGGGATGCGACATTGAAAGGTTCCTTCAACCATTGCACAGGAGCATGGAGTTTCTAAAATGTATGTATGCTGGTATCACCGCGTATTCGATGAATCTTTCCCCGTCGTCGGTCTCTACAGCCACTACACGAAAGTTTCCTAAGCCTCTTTTCTTGAAGTTTTATGATGTGGAATATTGAGCAGAACACGTTCGAGCGACCAAGTTCCTTTCAAATGGCATCATATCTCCAGTGTTGTGGAGAAGAAATGCTTTACTCCTAGTCTGAATATGGTTTGCACTGATGAGATGAGGGACTTGGGCTCGGGATATCTGGCTCGCTATATATTGCTGATTATCCTTTTAAGATAAGTTCTGATATAAAATTGTACCAGCACTTGATCATGAGCTTCGACTGAATTTTAATTGACAAAAACTACTTAGTTATATCTACGAATTTTAAGTCGGTACCAAACATCATCTGCTTCACAGGCAACGGCTCTGTAACTTTCTCCAAAAGCCGGTATAGATACAGTCACTTCTAATCCAAGTCTGACGGACCATGCATTCTTGTCCATCGATAGATCTTATCTCTCTGTCAATGGAACGAAGTGCTCTTATGCCCCAGCAGGCTGTATAAACCAGTCAACCACCCTCAAAAAATCCCTCACACGGTGACTCTAATCAAAAATCTGACCTCCAATAGGATAACTACCTGTACTTGTGCCAAAATCTTAGCAAACTACTGGGCCCAGAAGATCCTGAATTTGATCCTCGCCCAATATATTAGCCCTCTAGTTCCAAAATTTCCCTATAGTAGGCATCAACTAATGCATCCTATGAGATTAACAGGCACAATCCGATTTTCCAATATATTATCTTAGAAGTTGGGATCATCATTAGAGATATCATTGATACTGAAAAGTGTCGTGTTGACAATTTTAGTAAGTTGTTAGATAGCTGCTAGGCTAACTTGTAGTGGCAATATGTCATGACCGTTATTGCTTACAAGGTCTGTCAACGCTTCGCACTGTGCCACTTCGACGTTGATTCTGCCGACGAAGATAGTGTATTGTATTGTAATGTTTTTTTTGATTTTTTTATTTTGAAAAAAATTGATGTCTTTGTTCGGGAGGCTGGAGTCATCGGTGGCGGCATTGAGGAGATTTTTCAGACTCTAGGGAAGGAGTGATAGTGAGAATGCGAGTGAATGGTGTGAACAATGTTCGAGGTTGGGGTATAAAATACAATGGTTGCTTCTCGCCACCAGTTGATGATGTCGAATAGTTGATCTGCAGATGCAAAAGTCGCTATGGGGAGAACCAAAGGGATGACAAGTGTGTCAAATCTCATATTGATGACCGTAGTAGTTTTCGGTTCACAATATGCGGTTCATTTTGTCGACTAGCACATCTGAAAGCAAGAAAAATCAGCTATGCAAAGAAGTTTAAACGTGGAGTGAAGTTAGAGAAGCAGTTCCCAAATAATACTGAATCAGAAGATTGAAAGCACGGTTTGATAATGAACATTAAATTTTGAGGTGACCGGGCTTTTCTTATATAGAACTGAAAGACACCACGTCCGGAATTAGCACCACGCAAGCGCAAAGCCTCTCCTCGAGATAACATCTCGAATATGTTTTAGTGAGCTTCCAAAGCTTGCATTGTGCAATCAAACTCCTGACATTTAAAAGATTATGAGCTGGTATCAAGTTACTACAATACAAGTAAGCTGATGAACCACAGTACTGCCACTCACATAATCTCGGCATTCCGATCCCTCATTCTATAGTATTCATATTATTTATCAATGCTCTCTGCGGCAAAAATGTGTCTATTCTTATATCCAATCTCCTTTTATCCTCTTATACTCCATTAATGTTCATGTAAAAGAAGAGAATATCATTTTGGCCGTATTTAAGCTTTACACGCCTAACCTAATCTAGTCTAAACTTTATCACTAGACAGTAATACGTGGCTGAAAGTTTATTTCAGCCCTATGGCTATGATGTGCAACAAACAAACATGTGTGACGTATGTGACGAGGAGTATTTTAGTTGAATCTTCTGTTGTGTTTTTGTTAATTCTAGTATGATAATAGCTTTTTTTGTCAATCTAGTTACTCTGCATTATGGGACGTTTCGAAAGTACTAAATTAATCTGAAACTTTTGAGATGGCTTCATAACTGCATCCTATAGTCGGCAAGGATGAAGAGGAAAGTTACCTTTTATATGAAGAGGGTGATGAAACAAGCAGCTGCCTTCCCTATATAGCTTATCGAAATCCTAAAGTCCATTGCACACAAAATATCATTGGATCAGAATTATCTTCGTGCATGATTCCGAAAAAAAAAAATCATTTTCAGAGGACTAGACCAGGAGCCCAGACAGACAGATCAAATAAACTAAAACTCCAAATCTTCTACCCTAGCTGAATTACCATGAATGTGAGGATTGCAGTCAGACAAACCGTCTCCGAGAATACTAAGAAACCTCCTCGAAACATCTACTACCGTTGAATAAAAAACCATAAGATTACCCTTATTTCTAGACTTATATCCCCACTCGGATCTTTGACACCATTTATTATACATCAATATAAACCTCCCCACTCAAAAAAGCTCCCCACTTCATAATCCCCACAATCGAGACCCATCGCTACCACCCCGTCAGATTAAGAAGAGTTATCGAAATATAAATAGTAAAAATCAGGTTCTGTAAAACTTTTTCTCTAGGGAAGTCTAAATCTACGGAAATAGAAAAGACATCCTCTAAAATAATAACACTTAAAAAGCGGACCTTTAAATGAAAGTTTCTGTAGCGATGGATTTTGTTAGGATGAGCGAGGGAAAAGGGTGGTTTGTATAGGGTAGCCTTCATATTAGATATCCCCAAGTGGACAGTAATAATATATCGATCTCTGAGACACCTAATCAAACATTTAACAAAGTAACTACAATACACCTTTCACTCTAAACATCAGAAGAAACCCTCACCAATCCAAGATTTCCATGCCGCATGTAAGATTAAGCCACTCCTTTATTATCACTTCCTCTCCTCCTCTCCACCTTTTACTGTGATTCGATTCAAGAAATGCTCCTGATCAAGAATATAAACTCTTTCTATAAAATTGCAGAGCATTCTAAGATTCACAGTTCTATTTACTCTCTCAGAGAATAACTTTTACTTCCTTTCATCACGAGTTATATCCAAGTCTAGAACAAAAAAAAGAGGGAGTATCGGAGTGTCGGAGTAACTGGTTGGCGAAGAAAGTATTTGGGTAAATAAGAGGGAAATAAGAAGTGAGAAGGAGAAGTGGCAGATAATGGTAGTTAGTATCCAGTAATTAAGGAGCTGCTTTGGGAGCCGGCACATGAAGTAGTGAAAGTCATTGGTGCCTCCAACACTAAATCCTCTCCTCCTAGGCGAATCACAGAGAGTCTCGATAAAATTGTTTGAGAGCCACTACAGCATTGAAACATGTATTTATCAAGAGTCAAGAGTCAAACGGCATAGTACATCTAACACAATATCATCTTGAAGACGTTGTGCATGGCAGTGTACGCTCCTGTCCGTTCAATTATCTCGAATAACCACTGACCTGAAGGCTCGCTGGACGGTGCCTGGCTAGCATAGGAATTTTCTGGTACATTATCGCCTTCTAGAAAAATACAAATACTCTTCAAGGCCTTAAGTAATTAGCATTATCATGATTTGAGTAGAAGGCCAAAGTCTGCCGACAGCAAGATTTTTATGCTTCCACTCCCACCCACTTGGATTTTGATGCGTACGTTATTGTTTGGTAGAAATCCAGAACGACCAGACGATACAAGTTTCCACCAGTGTCCAACACACCCAGCTAAACGATCTCCTTACACATTTAAACCAACAATACAACTGCAAACTCCCAGGACCAAAAATCAATCATCCGAATATCAAGATCATATTCATGCCATGTACAAATAAGGCATACCACCAACTATCCCAACAATCATGAATCTCCACACCTCATACGCCACACCTCGCCAGAAAGTAAGCGCTGTTATTGTAGCCCTTGTCAAAGATATCGGTATGACGCACACTAGACGGCGGACACAAGCTATTAATCCTTGTACTAAGTATATAAGACTTACAATTGTGCCGGGATGGGAAATGATTGATCCTTCGCTGAAATGCAAGTGTATAGAAGTGTTGGACATATGGAATCTGCTTATCAAGCACAATTAGACTAGTCTTTTGTGATTTATTGGACAGGAATAGGATAACAAGAGTTCGTGAGTAGGGGCATTCTTTGGTCTCTTTTTAGCCATATAGTTCAATGATCAGTGATATAAACATTGCCACCGTACTTAGAGTTTTGCAAATAAAACTGAAGTACTTCTCTACAATCAACTCCCCCTCGATCAAGAAAATCTCTCTATTCGGCTTTTTTTTTTGTTTGATTTGATAATTCCAACCTCCTCTATGATTCTACGTTGAAATTAAATCGATCTTTGAACTGTTTGATCTTAGCCTTGGGTCTCTTCTCGCCTGAAATATCATGTTCACTTGAACAATCGAGCCCTTAGTTTTGGTTTTTGAAAATGAGATCCAGCACACTCTTAACCCCGCGTTTACTAGTCCTATCTCCGCTTTTGTAGTCTTAGCAAGGGACAAAGTAGTATCAAGTACAGAGCCACTTCAAGGTATCGGCAAAAGGTCTCTTGCATAAATGACATTGACTTCGGTGAGTACTTGACTAAGCTTTACTTTCAACACCACCAGAACACTTGCGGCGACAGCTAACTTCGTTTATTACAGAACGAATGGTGTTGAGATTAATTCCTCGTCGTTTTACCGGTGTGCCTCGTTTGCCACATTTACCGTTGACATTTAGAATTATTCTCCTCGAACCTTATCATCTTAAATGTAAGATACGCTGTGTTCAGTTTGGATTTGTACACAACACACATACTGCAAGACTGAAATTATAAAATCAATGTTTAATTCTACTAACAACTGGAACAATGAGTTCTTTTCCTGGTGCGGATGAATGCAGTACTGTGCAGAACGTAACCGCTCGATGATTAAAGATCATCCAAGGCAACATTTCCCAATGGTATATCTAATAAGCGCAAGCATGACAATGTTTCGTCAGCTCGTCAGTTGTCGCGTTTTACACAAGCTAGTATATCAAGATTCTTCATGAGATGAGATAGATAAGTTTGATTGACATAAGAACCTCACCAATAAAGTGCATCGGATATCTTATCTATCATCACGCAGCCCATGCATATAGCACGTCATGAGGGGTGCGTTGAACTTTTACCCGCAAGTGCGATATTTGACAATTACAGAAAAACTCTTGGAGAAATACTTGGCAATATACATGTTGAAAATACCAGCCAGCGTGGGAACAATCGATGGTGTCAAAGGCAAGGATTATATCGAAACATCGGCAACTCGAGCTTTCGAGTTCTTTTTTTCCGCACATCTTCACCAAGATAAATCATTTAAATTAACCAAATTATCATGTTGAACAAATATTTACTGGTACTCGATTGGTACTCAAATCGATTCTTTCTAGATTAAAGATGAGTTCCAAGAATAGCTTGGTTGTACACAACCACGTGATCGACACCCCTAGCTCGGAGGAAGTCTCGAACTCTGTCATCCAGGAGAATACTCAGAAAACATGGACTAGTTATATATGGGATACCTTGGATAAATCACCTCAAGAAAGAAGATTCTTATTCAAGCTTGACTTGGCTGTTTTGACTTTTGCTTCGCTGGGTAAGTCTTCATTGTCAATATTCGAGACATCCTATACCCTCATACGACGAGTCTTCTAAATTTTAATGATTTAGGATACTTCATAAAGTATTTGGATCAACAAAACATCAACAATGCATTTGTCTCTGGGATGAAAGAAGACCTAGGATTGTACGGAAACCAACTCAACTACATGGTGGCCACATGGACAGCGGGATATGTAATTGGTGGGATCCCTAGCAACATCATACTCACTCGAGTACGACCTTCTATATGGATCCCCTCGATTGAAGTATGTGACAGATTCCCAAAATCTATCATTTGAGTATAGAGCTTATAGTGGTACAGATAGTTTGGACAATCTTGACCATGTGTATGTCGCGCTGCAATAATGTGTCGCAGATATATGCGTTGCGGTTCCTCATTGGTTTGGCTGAGAGCGGTTTCTATCCTGGAATGCAGTATATCATCGGATCGTGGTACAGGAGAGATGAATTGGCGAAAAGATCATGCATATTTCATGCTACAGGTGCTCTTGGATCAATGTTTTCCGGTTATTTGATGGCATCTGTGTACCATCTCGATGGCAAAGGCGGTCTGAAAGGTTGGCAATGGTATGAAGCTCGAGATAAGTTAACAGTTGGAATCATGGCTGACGGCTGCGTAGGCTTTTCATAATCGACGGCGTGATTTCACTTCCCATCGCCATTGCGGGCTATTTCGTGCTTCCAGATGTCCCAGAGATCGCTAAGGCGTGGTACTTTTCCGAAGAGGTTTGTGTTTAACCAGCTTGTTATTTTCCTGCTAATAAGATAATAGGAACTGGAATACGGTAAAAAACGCATGGAATTAGAAGGTCGGGAGCAGAGAAAGCCATATACAAGAGCAAAGATAATGAAGATACTTTCATCATGGCACATATGGGCTCTAACACTTTTATATGTGTATGACTTTTTTGTCCCAAACAACGTAGATTCTGCTGACAAGCATTCAGAGCTTTCAACAATGGAGCGAGTGGGGCGGCGCCAGTTTTTGCCCAGTTTCTGAAAGACTCAAAAAACCCCAAGTACACCGTGGGGCAAATAAATACATATCCGACGGGTACTTCGGCAGTACAAATTGTAACAACGCTCGCCTATGCCTGGACTTCAGACACTATCTTGAATGGTAAACGCTGGCCACCAATTATCTTTGGGGGAGCTGTGAACATCATGTGTTATGTTTCTCTCGCAATATGGGACATACCAATTGGATGGAAATGGGCCTGTTATTTTATTATGGGCTCTGGGTATGGCCTTTCTGGTATTTGCATGGCGTAAGACTTCATGGACCTCATAGACAGTCAAAATACTGACAATGTACCAGATGGGCGCATGAGATATGCAATAAAGATAATGAAGAAAGGGCGATAGTAATTGGAACGATGAATGAGATGGCATACGTTGTTCAAGCTTGGTTGCCATTAATTGTTTGGCAACAAGTCGATGCGCCACAGTATCGAAAAGGGTTCATCACTATTAGTGTACTTTCCTTCATCCTCATCCTGACGGCTTTTTTGATCAGATTTTTGTGGAAACGGGAGAAACTTCAGTGAGTGAAAATTGATAACCCTAATGATCAACCTTGTTGATGCTGATACGGATTTAGGGAGGCCAAGCGAAAACGTGAATTGGAACAATGAAAGTTTGTTGTGTATTGAAATAGGACATTGACAGCTGATTATTCTTTCGAGTTAGATATCGGCGGCTAGCTGTTGATTTAAATTAGGACAATAACTTCGTTGTCTATATCGAATCGAACATGAATACTTATGTTCATTTGAATCGGGGCAAGAAAAGCGTGTTGTGTAAGGCTAAACCAGACTAGAATATTAATGAATTTCAGTTCAACTAGACAAAAGATAATGATACAAACTTGAAGCCAGTCCTGACTGATGTAAATTTACCATCTGCTGATGAGGTCAAGTAAGAAACTTTCAAAGGAAATGCTGGTTGAAGAGATTGGAATGAGAGTGAAACCCGAATCCTCGAGTAGTTTAATAAGTATACGGATGCATCTGTTCATTGGAAGATTGCGGTAGTTGAATGCCTTCACTTCACAGCTATATCGATATTGGGCAAACTATATATTTTACTAGAACTCTGTGATGGTCGACTCCATGAATCGTATTGTTTGAAGTTGAGCCCTTGGCGAGTTTCAGAAACAGCCAATGAAAGTGGTGTGAGTAAATCAAATGAAGGAGAGAGAGAGCCAATAGTTACCTACTAGTAGGTATCTATGTAAAGACTCAAGAATCACAAAAAAAGGACTTTGATAGAGAAACGATGATAAATGGTCGTCGAGAAGAGTTTGAATAAATTCAACCAATTACCGTCCTGCGTCGTTTTCCCCATTTCCCCATCTCCGAATATTCTGCCATTATGTAATCACATAATCATTCACCGCCTGCTTTAAGCGAGAACCGTCTCTGGTCGAGAAAGCTTATCAAGGTGGGATGAATTCCGGAGAAAAAAATCCTAAAACCTTCAAAATGTCGTCAAAGTTATCTTCAATTTGCAGTTATCTGCTCAATTTTCGACCATTCGTTCGCAGTCAATTCAATTTTGATTGATTCTTTACTCTTCTGTGTCTATTCACTATCGATATAATTTTCTCATTCTTCGAACTTCTCTAGAGAAGTCGATTTCGAAGAGTTCTGAAAGAAATTTGTTCCTGTCCACTCCGCAACATTGTAGGTCACTTCTTACTAATTTTACACCACAATGTTTTCCTTGGATTATGTCTTAACAGGAAATGCCAAACTGTTACACTCACCAGTATCGCTATGCGAATGCAATCTTTCCTTGCCTTTCTTGTCATCGAGTGCATTCCGGCGTAGCGGGGCTAATGAAATCGCGATAGTATTTCAGATAGTTACTTGATAACGATTCTACAAGATGTGCGGAATTCTCGGCTTGATATTGGCCGCCTTTGACGACCCTTCTTCCACCGCTGCGGCAGCGGAGATACACGAAGCTCTTTACTATTTGCAACACAGAGGACAAGATGCCTGTGGTATCGCTACATGTGCCGCGGGAGGTCGGATCTATCAATGCAAGGGTAATGGCATGGCTGCAAGAGTATTCCAGGATGGATCTCGTGTGCAAGATCTTCCCGGATTCATGGGCTTAGGTCACTTGAGATACCCTACAGCTGGAAGCAGTGCTAGTGCCGAAGCTCAACCTTTCTACGTCAACAGTCCTTACGGAATTACCTTCGCGCATAACGGAAATTTGATCAACGCTCCAGAGCTCAAGCGCTTTCTTGATTTCGAAGCTCATAGACATATCAATACAGACAGCGACAGTGAGCTTATGCTCAATATCTTCGCCAACGAGCTCAATGAGACCGGAAAGGCCCGTGTTAACGAGGAAGATATCTTCAAGAGCTTGGAGAGAATGTACGGCAGATGTGTTGGAGGTTGGGCTTGTACAGCAATGTTGGCTGGTTTTGGAATCCTTGGTTTCCGCGATCCACACGGCATTCGTCCCCTTATCCTGGGTTCTCGACCATCCTCCACTGTTGCTGGAGCCACGGATTACATGATGGCTTCTGAGTCTATCGCTTTGACCCAACTCCAATTCTCGAACCTGGTAGATATTCTTCCCGGACAAGCCGTCATCATTAGAAAGGGCTCGAAGCCGCTCTTCAGACAGATCGTTCCTCAAAAGAACTACGCCCCAGATATTTTCGAATATGTTTACTTCGCTAGACCTGACTCGATTATTGATGGCATTAGTGTCCATAGAAGTCGACAGGCAATGGGATATAAGCTCGCTGACACCATCAGCAAAGTTCTTGGACCAGAAGCAATTAAAGAGATTGATGTTGTCATCCCAATCCCGGAAACCTCCAATACATCAGCTCAGAGTGTTTCAGAACGTCTCAACATCCCTTACTGTCAAGGTTTTGTCAAGAACCGTTATGTATTCCGCACTTTCATCATGCCCGGACAAGGTGCTCGACAAAAGTCTGTCCGCCGCAAGCTCAGTGCAATGGAGTCTGAATTTGCCGGACGCACAGTGCTTTTGGTTGACGACAGTATCGTTCGTGGTACGACGAGTAGGGAGATTGTACTGATGGCCCGTGAGGCAGGCGCAAAAAAGGTCATTTTCGCTTCCTCTGCCCCACCGATCACCCATGCTCACATCTACGGTATTGATCTTGCTTCGCCTCAGGAGCTCGTCGCACATAACCGTGACAGACATGCAATTGCTAAACACATTGGCGCGGAAGAAGTTATCTACCAGTCGTTGGAGGATTTGAAGGCATCCTGTGCAGAGCTTTCTCCTCGCGACCCAAAGACTCAAGAGTTCGAGGTTGGTGTTTTCTGTGGTACTTATGTAACACCTGTTCAGGATGGCTATTTTGAGCATTTGGAGAAGATTCGAGGTGAAACTCGAAAGATGAAGGTTTTGGAAAGTGCGAAAGAAGCTGTCCTTCATGGTGTAGCAGGAGACAAGGAATTTAATCTCATCACCCAGGGAGCAGTAGTGGACTCTAATGGTCAGGTAGTCCCCGAAGGCCAGCAAGATAAGGTCGTCAATGGAACTGCGAATGGTAATCCCAGGCCCAAGCTAGAGGCTTCTGAGTCCAGTACGCCTTCAGTAAGAGATCGTCAAGATATTAGGTATGTTTCCTCGCTTTCAATGACTGATCATAGAGAACATGCTGACTCTTATAGCTTACATAATTTCGCCGATTCCAACAGAGGTTATGATTGAAATTTTTGAAATTTGGAGATACACTCAAACTTGTGCAAACTTTTAGACATGGTGTAAATATGGCGCGGCTGTTTGAATTTGAATCTTTCAACTACAGTAGTATAGAGGTCTCCACAGATGTCATGGTCCAGCTCACTGACTAGTATCAGAAGAGATTAGCCAACGGATCAACAAATATAAAAAAGAATTTTCATGAAACCTACAGTCATACTCATGTTTTCATCAATGTGATGCTGGTGAAGACTAGGGATGTAAGTGTTGTGCTGTATAAAGTATAGCAATGAATTCGAGGCTTGTCTACTACGATTTTTCACGGTGTAATACTCGACAA